AGCAAAGGACTTTCCTTTGATTTTTAATAAGGAACTGGTTCGTCAAAGAGATTTCTCAACTTCGGTTGTGAAACCTATAATAGAGAATAATTTGAAAGGCACACAATGTACATCATTATAATCCTTTGATGTAGATTAATGATAGCTAAATCACATTTTCTAATTGCCTCTTTTTTCTATAGTTGATTATTAAATTTTAAGAAAAAACTTGGCTAAGCAGCTCTTTAGTAACACGTGCATCTCTGTTGCTCAATATTTTGTGATGTACTCTGAAATTCAGAGAATAGAATTTTCTTTTAAATATTATTATTAAGGAATTTACTGTGCAGAGGAAGGACCAATGTTTTTCTTCATGAAATGAATATTATGATTTATCGTGCTGAGAAGCATTCACCCGTAAAAATTGTTGGTAGTTGTTAATAATGTGATTTATGTTCCAGCAGTAGTGTTTTGCTTTTTACAGTTTTATCTTAGATATTATCTTAGATATTCAGAATATCTAATAAAATTCAGAATATACAGTTATCTTTGTTGTTGTGCTCCTTGCTTAGTTATGCAAGACACATAATTAAAATCTTCTTGAGTAACGTTATTACCAGATGAATAGTAAAATTGTGTTCATATCAATTACGTTGAATATGTTATCTTCATTTACTCATTTATAAGGTAGGAAATATGTACATCTGAGTATGAAATTTCTGGTCTTTTTAGATTTAGGTTTTTAGTCAGTTGAGTATGTTGCTGCTATATATAAGGCTTAATTTTCCTTTAAAAGCTCAATTCTACATTTTTAAAGTTTTTCAAACATTGAGAACCTCAGGGTTTGACATGGTTTTAATTGAAAATGTCATCTACGTTTAAAATAATTTAAAACAAAATCAAATGCAAGTTATTATAGACTATCAGAGGATTAACCTTTATGTCTTTGTAATCCTGAGTCTTTCTTGAAAAGTAATCCTGGTAACATTTCATTTTGACCTTTCCTATAGACTTGAGATTGTATCAGAAGTGACTTGGTTTTGAAATCTACTTATCACTGCAAAGAAAAGACCTTGTTGAATCTAGACATAAAGTCTTTATGTGAATGGATACCTCTTTCTGATACTTTCCAAGATCCTGTCTTAATAACACTTTGTGGACCAGATCATGTTCACCTATGACATTTAAAGGGTTTACGTAGGAGAAACTGCCCTTATTCAGATATGTACTCCTGCCTCCAGCAGGTTTATCATTTTACTGCCTTTTCAGTGTCGTGCTTCCATTCCTTCTGCAGGAAGCAATGGCTACACTTTGGAGTAGAAAATCTTTACTCTTTTGCTAGGCAGGGATCATGTCTGAAATTTCTAGAGTTAAGTAATAATTATTTTATTTTTCAAAGCCTGTTTCCCATTTCTTCTCACTTGTTTTAAGGTTCTTTTACCAGATGAGTGCATTTTTAAAGATAGGACTTTTGTACTCAGGAAATATGAGGTGAAAGAATAGGCAGAAGAAACAATTTTGAACTTGAAAGAATTGAGATTATCATTAACAATCTTCTGGTGTATTAATAATTTTAAGCTGGTAAAACAATAAAACAAGCTGTTCTGTGTGAATAAAAAATGACTAAAAGGAAATAAAAAATAATTGATGATGTACTTTTCTTTTGCTAATAAAGACATGAGAATGTTGAGAAGAAATTTATTCCACAAAACAGTAAGAAAATGAAAATAATGTATCTCTTAAGTATTAAAAGTTTGCAAGAATAATCACCATTTGAAAATGTTATTGAATATCTTAGTAACATCAGATGTTTATTTCCTATATAGTGGATGTTTTAGCGCTTAGGAATAAGACTAGTGGCCACTGGTTTTCTTCTTAAGGTACCTTATGTTTAGAACTCCATTCCATTAAAATTTGTCTTTGGTTCTGTAATGTAAGTAAAGTTTTGTGCAGCGTTCTTTTCGATTTGAATGAAGAGCAACTTTAAAGGAGGAAAACAAAATTTGGGTAGTTTCTTTTTCTCTCTGTCTTTTTCTCTGTCTCTCTCTTTTCTCTTCTTTCTTTTTTTAATAGGAATCACAGAACATATTGTAAGAAGCCTGGTTGGTCAGAGGAGATTGTGTTAATTAGGAGAATGTTTGTCAGGCAGCATGAAATCATTTGTTAATTATTTTTTTAATCTTATCTGGTTATTGTTATTTTTCCAACTTTCTTCCCTTTCTTATGTTCTTTTTTTCTTTCTCTCTTTCTTTTTTTTTTCTGGACCTGAAATTACCTTTGCTAATCCAGTTTGTGTGGAGAGATAAAGCACCAGATTGGGAGTTAGGGGACTCCTTCCTTCTTTTTGTTTTGACTTTAGTCCTTCATTGTTAAAATGAAAGAATTAGACTAAATTATTTTCAAGTTTTCTTCTAGCTCTTAAAATTAATTCTAACATCTCTTACATAAACATTTGGAAAGATTTAAGAAACTATCAGATAATTTATTCACTAGTACTTACTGAGTACTATCTATTCATGTGCTTAACACTGTGCTAGGCTTACCTGGGTTGATTTTTACCTATGTTTACATGGAGTGGGAGAGAATTTTAAGGCAATTTTTTTTCTTGAAGAAAATGAATATCCCAAAGACAAAAACAACGTAAGACAACTTGAAAGGAGTTGTCAAAATCAGAAAAGTGGATGATTTGTATGATTTGTCAATGAAAAAAAACTTTTCCTCTACACTCTTAGGTTCATTGTATGGAGGCCTGTGAATTAAACTGTAAAAAAGATTAGTAAGAGAAAAGACAGATTTTTATTTATGAATATATATGTAAGTTCACAGAAAAATGTGACTCTCCAAACTGGCAAAAATAGGGGTTTATAAACCTAATGGGAAGAGGTAGAGGGAAGAAAAGGCTTCTATGGGAAGAACAAACGGCTTTATTTCTTTTTTTAAAATTATACTTTAATTTCTGGGATACATGTGCAGAACGTGCAGATTTGTTACATAGGTATACATGTGCTGTGGTGGTTTGCTGCACCCATCAACCCGTCATCTACATTAGGTATTTCTCCTAATGCTATCCCTCCCATGACCCCCCACCCTCCGACAGGCCCTGGTGTGTGATGTTCCCCTCCCTGTGTCCATGTGTTGTCATTGTTCACCTCCCACTTATGAGTGAGAACACGCAGTGTTTGGTTTTCTGTTCCTGTGTTAGTTTGCTGAGAATGATGGTTTCGAGCTTCATCCATGTCCCTGCAAAGGACGTGAACTCATCCTTTTTATGGGTGCGTAGTATTCCATGGTGTATATGTGCCACATTTTCTTTATCCAGTCTATCATTGATGGGCATTTGGGTTGGTTCCAAGTCTTTGCTATTGTGAATAGTGCTGCAATAAACATACGTGTGCATGTGTCTTTATAGTAGAATGATTTATAATCCTTTGGATATATACCCAGTAATGGGATTGCTGGGTCAAATGGTATTTCTGGTTCTAGATCCTTGAGGAATGCCCACACCGTCTTCTACAATGGTTGAACTAATTTACACTCCCACCAACAGTGTAAATGCATTTCTGTTTCTCCACATCCTGTCCAGCATCTGTTGTTTCCTGGCTTTTTAATGATAGCCATTCTAACTGGCCTGAGATTGTATTTCATTGTGGTTTTAATTTGCATTTCTCTAATAATGATGATGAGCTTTCTTTCATGTTTGTTGGTCGCATAAATGTCTTCTGTTGAGAAGTATCTCTTTATATCCTTTGCCCACTTTTTGATGGTTTTTTTTTTTTCTTGTAAATTTGTTTTAAGTTCTTTGTAGATTCTGGATATTAGTCCTTTGTCAGATGGATAGATTGCAAAAATTTTTCTCCCATTCTGTAAGTTGCCTGTTCACTCTGATGATAGTTTCTTTTGCTGTGCAGAAAAATTTTTTAATTTTTCTTCTTAAAAACTCTAATGAATCTTTGTATAATCTGTCTACCCTCCATGGAATCTTTGTGTTTTAATTCTTAATTATAAATCTATATTTTTAAAAAACTTTAAAAAAGTTATTTTATATATATATTTAGAAAATATGTATATTTTCTAACTGTATAGTTTAATGAATTTGCACAAACTGAACTTGCCCAGAACAAAAACAATACCGTGGAAGTCCCTCTTGTGCTCCCTTTCAGTCACTGCTTTTCCCTATAGGGATAACCAACTACTATTCTGACTTAACACATTAAATTAGTTTTGGCTGTTTTATATTTGATGTAAGTGAAAACATACAATGTGTATGTAGCTTCTTTGACTTAAGAGATTATGTTTGAGTATGTAGTTATTGTTTATTCATTCTTACTAATCTTTGGTTATACAGCTTGAAGTTAATATTAGATGATACCTAAAGGGTCATGACTATTGTCTTTAATCCCCTGTATTCATTTTGTCAGAGATAAGTCTCGAAATCATATAGTATGGGTCCTCCAACTTTGTTCTTCAATATTATGTTGGTCATTCTAAGTCTTTTGCCTTTCAAATTGTACCTTTCTTTTCCATGTAAATTTTATAATTGCTTGTTGAGTTTTACAAATAAGCCTACTGGAATTTACATTGGGATTTGTTGTATCTGTAAATCTGTTTGGAACAATTGGCATCTTAACAATATTGTTATAGTTCATGAACATGGTATATCTCTCCGTTTGTGTAGAATTCTTTAATAAGTATTTTGTAATTCCTAGCAAACAGAATTTACACATTCTGTTAGATTTGTATTTTATGGCGTTTTTTGGTACTATATTTGGAATATAAGTTTTATGTTTTGTTCTCTGCTATATCTTCAGTCTCTAAGATATGGCACAAAGTTGGATTCAGTAAGTATTTATTGAATGAGTGAATATCTGCTGTCAAAGAGTTCATACTCTAGGAGCTGAGAAAGAAGTACATAATTAAAAGATGATACACTTTAGGGGAACTATAAACAGAATTCTTTGGGAGCTCCTTGTGGGAGCAATAAAGTTCATGTAACAGATTTCTTTTTCTTTTTTTCCTGTCAGATTTGAAAGAAGATGACCCTAGGAGAAGTTTGTTTAATGATGCAGAAAACAAGAAGAATTCAATTAAAATGTGGTTTAGCCCTCGAAGTAAGAAAGTCAGATATGTTGTGAGTAAAATTTCAGTGCGAACCCAGCCTGAAATAAAAAAAGATGCAAATGCTCAGCAAGACTCCTATGAATTTGTTTCCACAAGTCCTCCTGCAGATGTTTCTGAGAGGGCTAAAAAGTCTTCTGCAAGATCCAGAAAAAAGCAAAAAAAGAAAACTTTAGCTGAAATCAACCAAAAGTGGAATTTAGAGGCAGAAAAAGAAGATGGTCAATTTGACTCCAAAGAGGAATCAAAGCAAAAGCTGGTATCTTTCTGTAGCCAACCATCCGTTATCTCCAGTCCTCAGATAAATGGTGAAATAGACTTACTAGCAAGTGGCTCCTTGACAGAATCTGAATGTTTTGAAAGTTTAACTGAAGTCTCTTTACCATTGGCTGAGCAAATAGAGTCTCCGGACACTAAGAGCAGGAATGAAGTAGTGACTCCTGAGAAGGTCTGCAAAAATTATCTTACATCTAAGAAATCTTGGCCATTAGAAAATAATGGAAAACGTGGCCATCACAATAGACTTTCTAGTCCCATTTCTAAGAGATGTAGAACCAGCATTCTGAGCACCAGTGGAGATTTTGTTAAGCAAGCGATGCCCTCAGAAAATACACCATTGCCTGAATGTTCTTCACCACCGTCATGCAAACGTAAAGTTGGTGGTACATCAGGGAGGAAAAACAGTAACTTGTCAGATGAATTCATTAGTCTTTCTCCAGGTACACCACCTTCTACATTAAATAGTTCAAGTTACAGACGAGTGATGTCTAGCCCCTCGGCAATGAAGCTGTTGCCCAATATGGCTGTGAAAAGAAATCATAGAGGAGAGACTTTGCTCCACATTGCTTCTATTAAGGTAGGATGCTTACTCTGAAATACCATCTCAGAATGAGGCCAACGGTAAAGCAATTTCTTTGGAGTTGGTGAAAAATGGCATAGGATTACTAGGATAATTAACCTTTCACAGACATGATACTTCCTCTGAACCAGAGAAGCCAAATTCACAGGGACAGCATCTCTACTTCAGTTGGAGCAGTGGCCCCTGAGTCTGGGCAGCAGGATCTTGTAGGAGAAAACCAGATTTGAATATTTCCGCTTTTATTTTGCCAAGTGCTTCTGCTTTTGTCTATTTTACCTTCAGTTTTTATCATTTTGTTTACCTGTCCTCATGCTTTATGAATGTAGACAATTGCTAAGTTATTACAGGCAACAATGTTTTCCTAGTAAAAGAGCCCACCAGAATTTGGAAGGTTGAAAGATGTGGTCTGTACATTTCTCCAATGACCAGGACATTTGACTATCAGAAATGGCTCCTCTGGTTCACCACAAAGATGTCAGCCATTCCTTTTACTGACCTGTTCATTGAACGTTAATTGTCTTTAATTATTCTCAGCACCTGGGATGTGGCAGCATTTTTTGGAACCTGGCCTGTTTTCTAAATCTTTGAAATTGACGCAGACACTACATGTGAAACAGAGCAGTAGGCACCACAGCTTTATAGGCTTTGCTCTGTGATTTCATGCAAGTGTTAGGAAAGTATGATATGGTAGACCTTAGTACTAAATTAGGATAGCTTTTATGCTCTCTTAGCGACTGTACGTAGTCAGTTCACCCAGGAAACCCTTTGGTCTTCTGGATGGGTAGAGAACTTTGGGGCACCTGGGAGGAACCACTTGGAGGCCCACAAACATGAGGCACCAGGGCAATATAAAACATTTGGGAAGAACATGGAGTAGACATTGAGTGTGGTCCAAAGATTCCTGTATTTCTGTGTGGAGAAAGGGAATAGCACAAACAGAGCTTATCCCAACTGCTGCTGGTTTGTTTTCCTTGCTTTTCTTCCAGATTAATAAGGAATACAGTCAGCTCTGTGTATCTCTGCGTTCTATGTTTATGGGTTCAACCAACTGCGGATCAAAAATATTTGGGAGAAAAGCCAATAACAATACACAATAAAAAGTAATGCAAATTTAAAAATATTGTATAACTATCTGCATAGCCTTTATATTATATTATGTATTATAAGTAATTTAAAGATGATTTAAAGTATACTGGAGGATCTGTGTAGGTTATTTGCAAATACATCATTTTGTATAAGGGATCTGTGGATTTTGTTATCTGCTGGGACTCTGGAACCAGTCTCCCGCAGATACTGAGGGATGACTGTACTCTCTTTCTGATACCAGTGAGGCAGGGACCTTACAGCATGACCTCATATCCTTTGGACATCTTGAATTTTTGGACTTGGCTCTGGTTGTGTTTTAGTTTTATTTTTGCAAATCCTGACTTACAAAATCAGACTTTTTTGTCATCTTTGTTATATATATGTATATTATATGTATATATAAGCTATTGTAAACATAAAGTTATAGACATAAGTAACTAGTGCAATTATTATTTTTGTTCATTTTTCTGACTAATACATAGTAATTTATGTATTTTGCTTTCTGGGAATTTTTTGGACTATCAGGCAAGCATTTGCTTATATTGGTGGAGACTTTTTCTTCTAACCATAAGAATAATTTATTAATGAGGATCCCTAGGGTCTAGGCCAGAGTTTCGTAAATTCTTTCTTAAAGGGGCAGTTAGAGTAAACGTTTTCAGTTTGCAGGCCGTGAAGTCTCTATAACTGTTCAGCTCTGCTGTCTTGGGGTAAAAATTGCCATAGATTGCTTCATACAAGTTTTGTCAGTTTACTTAGAGTTCTGCAAGAATTAGAATAATCCATTTTTATTTCCTTGGACTTAATTATTAAATGTGATTATTGTCACCAGTTATCAGATTATGTGATGGCACATTTTTTAAAAGTTAATTTTTATTGTTTTTAAAATCAATTAATAGTGTCCTTTTAAAATTTTTTTATGAGTTGAATGTATGCCTCTCACCTTAGCTTTATTTTAATAGACATATCCTTAAAATCAGTAGATTTGCTTATATATATATTTTATTTATTTATTTATTTATATATATTTTGTGATAGAGTCTCGCTCTGTCACCCAGGCTGGAGTGCAGTGGCACAATGTCAGCTCACTGCAACCTCTGCCTCCTGGGTTCAAGCATTCTTCTGCCTCAGCCTCCCAAGTTGCTGGGATTACAGGCACCTGCCATCATGCCAGGCTACTTTTTGTATTTTTGGTAGAGACGGAGTTTCACCATGTTGGCCAGACTGGTCTTGAACTCCTCACCTTAGTTGATCTGTCCGCCTCAGCCTCCCAAAGTTCTGGGATTACAGGCATGAGCCACCACACCCGGCCAATCTTTTTAGAAACAGTTTTCATTTCATTCCTATCCTAATTTTCTTATTTGCAGCCAGGAATAAATAATCCATGTGTACACATATTGCAGTTCTGCCTTCTTATTTATATTTTGTACCCACCTACTTCAGAAAAGGGTTTGAAGTGGCTCTAAAGTTAAAACTACTATAAAATGGAACAAGGAGTTGGTTAAGAGGAAAGAGTTACTACAACTGGAGTGAATTTAGTTTTGATGACCTTAAAGGCAGCCAAAGCAAATAAGGGGAAGGACCAGGTTTTGTGCTGTCAAAAGGTATGTGTCTTTTTTGGTGGTGATTATATTTTGTACCCACCTACTTCAGAAAAGGATTTGAAATGGCTCTAAAGTTATTTATACTTGCATTGTATTGTTTCTTAAGCATGTTGGTAAACTTGCAGTTTCTACAGTTTGAGCACATGGTTGCACTGAGCATGCTTGGTGTATGCACTGAGGGCAGAGAACCCAGCAGGAGTTTGTTCTCCTGCACTAGTTACCTTCCCTTACTGCAGGTAGGGCTTTACTGATTGATTTCTGAACTTGGAAGCATTATTAATAAACATTCTATAATACCTGGCCCCAAACTACCTCTGGGCATCATCGTTGGCCATAACCTTTTCATAGCTACCACCCTACTAGCAGCTACTTCTCTTTTCTTGTCCCGACCACTTACATTAGTTTTCTATTGCTGCCAAAACAAATTACCACAAAGTTAGCGATTCAAAGCAATGCAAATTAATTTTCTTACAATTCTGTACACCTGAAGTCTGGTATGGGTCTCATCACACTAAAATCATGCTGTCAGCTGTTTTCAGGAGGTTCTAGGCAAGATCCATTTTATTTTTATTTGGATGGTTGGCAGGGACTTCATCGTTCTTGTGGTAAGACTGAGATCCAGATTTCTTGCTGGTTTTCAGCTGAGAGTTGTTTCCAGGTTCTAGAGACTGTCACATTCCTTTAGTTCGTGGTCCTCTTCTTCATCTTCATCTTCAAATCCAGCAGCAGCAGATTGAGTCCTTCTCACATCTCATCTTTCTGACATAGCCGAGAAAGATCCTCTGCTTCTAAGAATTCATGTGATTAAATTGAGCTACCTGAGAAATGCAGAATAATCTCCCCATCTCAAGGTGTGTCCACTTAATTATATTGCAGTGTCCCTTTCACCACGTAAGGTAATACAGTCACAGGTTCTGGGGATTATTTGTGAACATTTTGGGGGGTCATAATTTTTTGACCACACCACTGAAGTAGCTTCCTAATTTCCCTTTGTATTTCCTGCAGTCGGTTCTCTATGTAACAGCCAGAGTAATCTGACCGAAGTCAAAATTGTCATTTCTCTACTGTCCTACCAATAAGTCTTTTTTATACCCCTCTTCCTATTTGAATATCTTCATAACTCATGTTCCTTTTTGAATGTCCGCATCACCTTTGTTAAACCTTTGTTACGAATGGGAGATTTTATGAGAAAGTATTGTACCTAAGTAGAAACAAAGATACTCATTATTTGTTCTTCTGATTTATTACCACAATTACTTTTGCACCAACCCAGTAGAAAACAAAATACTAAGGATATAGAGAAAATGTTTTATTTTCTATTATGTCAGTTTTGCTTGAGAATTTGTATCATATTCACCTTCCTCTTTTCTTACCCCACACTCCCCTACCAAGTTCTCTAGCACAAATTCTTAAAATGGCAGTGATTACTCATAATTTATGCCATAGCAATGACTTACTGTGGAATAGAAGAATGGCTTGAAGCTGGCATGACATGATGTATTAGTGATGTAGACATAATAGATAATGGTTTGAATGCAACTTACAGGGCATGGTATGCTTAGAACATAACAAAGGTGGTGAAGATCCCCTGGATAGAGAGAAGATCCCTTGTGAGGAGACTCATTAAGAGTTTAACTCTGTAGTTTATTATGCTTGAACACAGTCATGTTATATTGTGTGTGAAATTATGTATCCTTCATAGCAGCTTCATGAGAAGGTAACAAAGGAAACAAAAGCAGCCTTGGCATATGTGATATTTTCTCAAGAGTTTAATTTCTAAAATACCTCTTGGAGTCAATATCTACTTTCCTCCTCTGTTGCTTACCACATATGTGTAAGTCTGCTTCTATATTACCAGTAACTTATTGTGCCATTGACTGGGTTATCAGAATTATCTGTTAAATTACAGGCATACCTCATTTAATTGCACTTCACTTTTTTTGTGTTTTGCAGAGAGTTTTGTTTTTGTGTTTTTTGACAATCCTGCATTGAGCAAGTCTGTCAGTGCTGTTTTTCCAACAGCTTATGCTCGGTGTGTCTCTGTGTCACATTTTGGTAATTCTCACAGTATTTCAGATATTTTCACTACTGTTGTATCTGTTAGGGTGATTTGTGATCAGTAATTTTCAGTGTTACTATTGTAATTGCTTTGGGGCACCACAAACCCTGCCCGTGTAACGTGGCAAACTTAATTGATAAACGTTGTCTTTTCTGACTATTCCACTTACTGATAATTCTTCCATCTCTCTCCCTTTGAATCCCTGTTTCCTGGGACACAAGAATATTGAATTTAGGTCAGCTAACAACACT